TTATTTTTGTGAATCTTGGTTTAAGCAATCTAGCCGCCAAGGGCTTCACTTAAATGTGTATTTCGGTTTGGTGACCAGAAGACTCCTTAGGAGTTAAGCATGCCCACACTAAGTGATCACACTTAAAGATCAGAGTTCCAGTTACAAATCAGAAGACTTCTATGAGTTAGACGTGCCCACGTCTAATCCGGAACGAGTTAAGCGTGCCCACGCTAAATGATCACGCTTAAAGATCAGAGTTCCAGTTACAAAACAGAAGACTTCCTATGAGTTAGACGTGTCCACGTCTAATCCGGAACGACCAAATCAGACCGAAACTTAATTTTTCAGCAAGGGGAATTTAAGACGAGAGTTACTTTCCTTGATGCATGAACTTTCAATGTTAGTTTGACTTTCTATTTTGCAAACTAAGTGGGGGATTGTTAAGGTAGTTTGCAAACTAGGAAAGGTTTGCACCTTTTGAAGCACATTTTCACAGTGAAACTGCATGTTCCTTTGAAAGGTTACATGTGAACAGTTTCTAACAGTTTTCTGAAGATTGTGGGTGTATAAATCAATGTGTTGAATACCAGAAAACTAACTTAAGCATTTTTATTCTTGACTAGACAAATTCAAGAACTTACTACTTGGTTGTCTAATTAGAATTCATTGTATCCTAGAGTTTTTGCCCAAAAACCGGATTAGCAAGATAGTGGGGGCAATCAAACTTCAAGGAAAGTGATTACACGCCTTGAATTCTTCAAGTTTTGATCCCCATTTGTGTAAACTTATTTCTATAGAATTCTCTCTTGAGTTTTTCTGGTTTGACTCAATACAATCTTGTACTTCTATATCATTATTTTTACAGAGGTGAGCCGCCAACTTCAGCCTGTAAAATCTTTTTAACCGTAAGAAAAGATTAACATTTTATGCATGATTAATTCTAATTGCCAGTGGGAATCATTTAGGATAACGAGCCAAACTAACCAATGAAAGAAAAAGTAATATAGAAGTGCAAGATTGTATTGAGTCAAACCAGAAAAATTCAAGAGAGAATTCTATAGAAACAAGTTTACATAAACGGGGATCAAAACTTGAAGAATTCAAGGCGTGTAATAACTTTCCTTGAAGTTTGATTGCCCTCACTATCTTGCTAATCCTGTTCATAGGAAGTCTTCTGTTTTGTAACAGGAACTCTGATCTTTAAGTGTGATTACATAGCGTGGGCATGCTTAACTCCTAAGGAGTCTTCTGGTCACCAAACCGAAATACACATTTAAGTGAAGCCCTTGGTGGCTAGATTGCTTAAACCAAGATTCACAAAAATAAGAAATATCACATACATGAATCATGTAGCATTTATATATTCACAACCATTTGTAGCACTATTACTGGCCATGTGCTCATCCTATTCATGATCATATACAAGAGATCACCCAAACTCTTGTTAGAAGCGGCACCACTTCTATGACCATATAGGTAAACTATATTTCTAGTTTTAGCAAATAAAACACAAGAAATTTGTTTGTTAAGAGTTACTTCTCATCCTACTCACTTAAGAGTAACGCATAACACTACTAATTGGAATGGTCTACACACAAAAATGTAGTGTTCACTATCACTTGAAGGAACTTGTTATTAGCCTTTAAACCTTCCAAACTAGGGGTAGTACTAGAAGAAAGGTTGGGTTACCATTGCTAAGTGATTTTAGTATAAGGGTTTTAATCCCATTCCGGATGTCGTTACATTCACTAACTCTCTTGTTAGAGGTTTAGTCAACGGATCCGCCAAGTTTTTGTGTGTTCTTACAAACACAATACTGACAACATCACTTGCAAGCATTTGTCTTATAAATGTATGTCTCAAGCTTATATGTCTAGACTTACCATTGTAAACTTTATTCAATGCTCTAGACATAGTAGCTTCACTATCACAAAAGATAGTTGTTAGAGGCATTGGTCTAGGCCAAAAATCAATATCAAGTAAAAGATCTCTTAGCCACTCAGCCTCTTTACAAGCTGAAGATAGTGCAATAAATTCAGTTTCCATGGTTGAATGAGTTATCACCGTTTGTTTCTTTGAAGCCCATGAGATAGCTCCACCACCAAGCATAAAAATCCAACCACTAGTCGGTTTTTGCTCACTAATACTAGTAATCCAACTAGCATCTGAAAACCCCTCAAGAACACTAGGAAAACTATTATAAAAGAGCCCAAGATCTTTGGTTCTTTTAAGATAACCAATCACTCTACAAATAGCTTTCCAATGATCTTTACTTGAATTTTTAGTGTATCTAGCTAGTTTACAAACGGAGTATGAAATATCTGGCCTAGTGCAACTCATTGCATACATAAGACTACCAATAACACTAGCATATTCTAGTTGAGCTATTGGTTTACCGGTATTCTCATACAGCTTAAAGTTAGGATCAAAAGGGGTGCCAACTTCTTTCACACTTAAATGTTGATATTTCCTTAATATTTTCTCAACATAATGTGATTGAGATAGGGCAAAACCCCCCACTATGTCTTTTAATTTTAATCCCCAAGATAGTATCTACTTCACCAAGATCTTTCATCTTGAACTTAGAAGATAAATACTTCTTAGTTTCTACTACACCTTTAAGTGTAGCACTAACAATTAACATGTCATCCACATACAAACAAATAATCACACTATACTCACTATTGGATTTAGAATAAATGCACTTATCAGCATTATTGTACCTAAATCCATTAGAGAGTAAAACAGATTCGAATTTCTCATGCCATTGTTTTGGAGCTTGTTTCAAGCCATACAAAGACTTCACTAGTTTACACACCTTATGTTCATTACCCGGGAATACAAAACCTTCCGGTTGTTCCATGTACACCTCCTCGTTCAAATCACCATTTAAGAAAGCTGTTTTAACATCCATTTGATGCACATGAAAGCTAAAAACAGAAGCTAAAGCTAGTAATACTCTAGTAGAGGTTATCCTAGCCACAGGTGCATATGTGTCAAAATAGTCTATTCCTTCCTTTTGTCGATAGCCTTTAGCCACTAATCTAGCCTTGTAAGCAAGAATAGTTCCATCAGTGGCATATTTCTTGCAAAATACCCACTTACAACCAATAGGTTTAGAACCTTGAGGCAAGTCGACAAGAACCCAAGTATTGTTAGACAATATTGAGTCCATTTCATCATTCACAGCCTCTTTCCAAAATGCAGCATCTCTTGATTTCATAGCTTCATCATATGTCTTAGGATCATCCTCTACACTCAGCAAAATTGGAGTTTTATTTAGTAGAGAATCTCTATTTCCTTCTACCAGAAAAACAATAGCTTGAAAAGACACAAAGTCGGGGGGCAATTGTTTTTCTTTTCTTTGTCTTTGACTCCTCCTAGGTTCACTAGGAGTATCAATTTCTTTGCTTTTTGTACCACTAGAGGAGGTTGCATTTGGAGAGGATGGACCTATAGTAACTGTTGAGTCTTTAAGAAACTTATCTTCAAAGAACTCAACATCCCTTGATTCAACTATTATGTTTGAACCAAGATCAAGTAGTCTATAGGCTTTCGAATTTTCTGCATAGCCAATGAACACACTTTTAAGGGCTCTAGGTCCCAATTTAGTCCTTTTATTATCAGGGACCCTATAGTAGGCTATACAACCCCAAATCCTTAAATAAGACAGATTTGGTTTTCTATTTTTCCACACTTCATAGGGAGAAATTTTAGTTTTTAATGAAGGAATTCTATTATGAACATGACATGCAACTAACAAAGCTTCACCCCACAAATTATTTGGCAACCCTGAACTCACAAGCATGGAATTAACCATATCTTCAAGAGTTCGATTTTTTCTTTTAGCCAAACCATTTTGTTGTGGTGTGTATGGTGCACTGGTTTGGTGTACAATTCCACTTTCTTCACAAAATTTCGAGAATTTACTAGGGAAGTACTCACCCCCTCTATCACTTCTCAAAATTTTAATTTTCTTATACAATTGATTTTCTACTAAAGCCTTGTATGTTTTAAACATACCAAAGACTTCTTCTTTGTGTTTCATAAGATACACATACACAAACCTAGAACAATCATCTATGAATGTGACAAAGTATCTATTTCCTTCTCTAGTTAGAAAACCATTGAATTCACACATATCAGAATGCACAAGATCAAGCATTTGTGTTTGTCGTTCAACTTTAGGAAAAGGCAACCTTATAATCTTGGCTTGAACACATGTTTCACATTTCTTATTTTCAAGGTCATTATATGAAATTAGGCCATCTTTAGACATAAATTTCAACACTTTATGATTCACATGTCCTAACCTACCATGCCACAAAAAATAAGAACAAGTAGAAGAAGTAGAAGCCAAAGAGTAAACAGAAATATCATTCAGTTTATTAATACTCAACTTGAACATTCCATTACAAGAATAGCCCTTCCTTACAAATACACCATTCTTTGACAAAATTACATTATTTGACTCTAGTACAGCCTTCAATCCTTTCTTGTTAAGAATGTCCGCAGACACTAAATTCTTAACAACGTCGGGAACATGAAGTACGTTGGGAAGGACCAACTTTTTACCGGATGTGAATTGAAGATGCACATCCCCTTTGCTATGAACCTTGGCTCTCACTCCATTTGCCACGACAACTTCATGACCTTCAAGAAGTTCATAACTCTTGAACTGATTCTTATCATTGCAAACATGAATTGCAGCACCAGAATCATACCACCAATCCTTTGAAGGCATAGGTGTCATCATATGAAGTTTAGTCACCGTACCAAAAGTCATCATTGCTACAATTTCTGCACACTCATCAACAAGATTAGCACTTGGAGCAACATTTTTCTTTTGTTTCTTGTTGAGTTTGCACTCGGCCTTATAATGGCATTTCTTACCACAATTGTAACAATTTCTATTTTTTTCTTATTGTTTTTTGAATTAGTATTCTCAGGACTCTTTCTCTTACTACCAGAATTCATTTTCTCTTCAATCATATTAGTCTTAGGAGCATCGTCAACTTCTAGTTTTTGAAGTATTCTGGCCCTTCTTCAATTCTAAGATGTTTCAAAACACTAGATAAAGTTAAAGTTTCAGAAGTGTGAAGCAACTTCTTTTGGTAATCATTCCATAATGGTGGCAACTTAGCAATTATTGCACCAACTTGGAAAGATTCAGAAACTTCAACACCATAATCTTTAAGTTTAGAAACTATCACTTGAAGATTATGAATTTGGTCCATAAGAGAAAAAGAATCAACCAACTTGAACTCAAAATATTTCTTAATGAGAAACTTATCTGTGCCTTGCTTTTGGGTTGTATACTCTCGCTCAATTGCAGCCCAGATTTCCCTTGGATTTCGTATTTCTTGAAACATATCGTAGTAACTATCCGAGAGGGTGTTGAGGATGTGGCCTCGGCAAATAATCTCGTCCTCTTCACGCTTCTGCCTTTGCTCTGTCACTTCCTCGGACTCACCCTCCACTGGAGCAAGAATTTTTGGAAGATTCAGATTGAGAATGTAAGCCACCTTCAATGCAATGGGGAAGAACATAAGTTTGTCCTTCCAACGGTTGAAGTTGGTTCCGGTTCCATCAAGTTTGTCCAGCTTAACGAAATCTTGGTTCATAACTTTAATGGCACTATCTTGGGCAGACTCCATTCTTGTCAATCAATCAAACTTCAAGATTGTAAAAATAATGATATAGAGGTACAAGATTGTATTGAGTCAAACCAGAAAAACTCAAGAGAGAATTCTATAGAAATAAGTTTAAATAAATGGGGATCAAAACTTGAAGAATTCAAGGCATGTAATCACTTTTCTTGGAGTTTGATTGCCCCCACTATCTTGCTAATCCGGTTTCTGGGCAAAAACTCTAGGATACAATGAATTCTAATTAGAGAACCAAGTAGCAAGTTCTTGGATTTGTCTAGTCAAGAATAAAAATGCTTAAGTTAGTTTTCTGGTGTTCAACACATTGATTTATACACCCACAATCTTCAGAAAACTGTTAGAAACTGTTCACATATAACCTTTCAAAGGAACATGCAGTTTCACTGTGAAAAGGTGCTTCAAAAGGTGCAAACGTTTCCTATTTTGCAAACTACCTTAGCAACCTCTCTACAAGGTTGAAAGGAAAATAGGTGAAGGTAGCTTACGACAGGTCTGTGGAGGTATTTTCTATTTTTTGTTTGACCAAGAGGATTCATATTGTCTCTTTTCAACTATTTATATTGTAATTTGGAAAAGAAACAACAATTGTATGAATAATAACATTGGTTCTATCTGAAGAAAAGAAAAGAATTTCATGTCTATTAATCTTGCTAGATGAATTTCAGGCTGCCCTGAAATTTGAGCACAAAAATAAACCGGTGGGTCTTATCAAAGATGATTATCCAACAGAGTGGCAGTTTTATGACTCTTCTTTCCATTTCCTTACCTGGTATCTTTTTTACTAAAGAACTGAAGTGAATCTCGTTTCTCGCTGAACAGCTCCCTTGGAGGTGGAGGAGGTACACATGCTGTGCCTACTGTACACTGTAAAGGAATACAAGGAAACTACTTCATAATTGTAAGATTGGAAGTGCAGAACGGAGGTATGTGCTTTACTTCTACTCCACAATGTGGGATGTATCAAATGCTGTTGTCTTCTTGTGCATCTATGAATCTTTGATAATTGATCACGTTTTCATAGGTCATGGGTCTTTTGTGGCCTATTTCGCTTAATGTATGGAGGTCCGCATGAATAAAATAAAAAAAGACGGTAGGTATCTTGACAGTGTCCTGCTTTACACAGACAAATATCTTCTGAATCTTGTTTTGACGTATTTCATACATATATCTTCATTTGAAAGGAGTTTGTAAAAAGAATTTCAAATGTCATACTAAAAACTATAAAAGCTTAACTTTAGTAGATTATAACCATGAGATGGAAGCTGCTAAAGAGCATCTCCATCTGGCTTGCATTGTAGCAGAAGAAACTTGATAATCCACATAATCTTCCTTTGTCATTAGATTCCGGGTACTATCAAAAATTGTCTCTCAAGTTTGAATAATTGTATGGCGCTCTATCGCAGCCCAAGGACAGTTTTTGGTGTGGACTGTGAACTGATATTGATATCGCATTCCTCTTAGTTTGAATCTTCTACCAGCTTTAATCCTTGTTGACATCACATCCTAACATGCCTGGCCTCGTTGCAGCCATAAATGTAGCTTGTGTTCCAATAGAACATCATATTATGCCTACAACACTATCAAAGCTCACCCTGTTTCTGATACCTATAAGATTGCACTCTCGTTTTTTCTAATGCATATTAGTAATATGTCAATTTTTTTTTGCTTTGCCTATGCCATGGTTTTTGTGGCCTGTTCTCAATGCCAGTTCCAGAGCTTTCTTGCATGCAAAATTTCTGATTCAAGGAGATACACTCAAGATTCTTAAAGTTGCTTCAAAAATTTTGATTAGTCTAATTTGATGCCTATTGCATGTTGATGCCAGATTAATGTAATGGATTCCAAGCTAGCTCTACTAGTTGATAGGGAGTGCGAAGCTGGTTCGTTATTAGTGTTGTGGCATCTTATTCCAACTCACTGAATTTGATTATGAACGCTGGAACTGCATTTACAGGTCAAGTTTATGTCCTGGCAGAGTTTTCCTTGCATGAGGTAAATTCTGCCAATGTTCATGATTAAATGAAGGTTGCAGACCTCATTCCAGAACTTCTGTGGGCCACTAACTTCTGGAATGCTGGTGTGATAGGAGTGAATCACTAGAAAATGAACTATCGTATCAGCTCTCGCTGGCGCTGCTGATGGAAGCTCCCTTGTGGTGATGTCAAGAGTAATTGTGTAGTTTATTTATTTCATCTTGACACTTATTGTGATCTGAAGCTACAACTGAGGAAAATAAGCTTTCTAAATTCTGATGAACGAACAAGTAAGGAAGTTTACTTCAATGATAAAGCTAATTAGGTTCAGAGGTTTGATGAGTTAATGCCTCCTTACTAATGCAGGATGAGGCTTTTTTGTTGTTATAGAGCCCGCAATTGCATGTGTACGTGCTATTTGACCTTTTACGCATGGATGAGATTGAGCTATTTATTTCTGGTTGTGCTTGCAATTGCAAGTATTTATTTGAGTATTGGGCTTAACGAACTTAAGTCTGTCTTTTATGGTTGTGTTGGTTTATCAGGTCTTAAGTTTGTCTTGCTCATTGACTTTTTATGGTTGTCTTGGTTTTGCTTTAGTAGATGCTGCATGTTGTCTTATTCTTGATAAGATCCCTTTTCTTTTCAAGCAAAATTATATGCAGATCCAAGGTGTGCGGACATTGTTATTAATTGATTTTTACTTACTTGTTTATATCAAATCTCTGATGCGAAGCAACTTCATGAAATTCTACAGGTACCATATACGTTGAGCAACTTTATATAGGGAGTTGTCTTTTCCATACAAATGGATTCCGAAAAAGTGGAATGAAGTTTTCATTTCATGTCACCTCTATGACAAGTATCAGTGTAGATTGGCCTGTGGTCATCTCTCCAAATTCTGATTTCATTGAACAGGCAAGTCTCATTGTCTTCTATTTGTGTGGCGTGTGAATTACTTGAAGGAATGAGGTGAAGCAATCTTATTTTTTCTTTTTGTTTATGGGCTGTTTTTGATTGTTGGAAGAAGAATTCCAGTGTTGACAAATGTGTTGAAGGCTAAACACAAAGAATGGTCTTAGTAACACCTTATTCAAGGACTGCATTAGTGCATTGTGAAGAACATTTGGACACTTGTGTTGTATCATACATATGGCCGATTGACTAAATTGATACTTCAAAGCCTTTTCTTTCAATTGAAAGTACAGGTTTGGTTTCTTTCAATTGAGCCTTTTGTAAGTGCTGCCAACCCAACAACCCAACTATTGAAACAAGTTCCAATATTGTCTTCTAGCATGCTTTTAAGCTTTAGCTTTTGGAATCAAGATGGTGGAGATGTATGCGTGTTTAACAAATGGTAGCTATCATAAAAAGAGTGGGGTTGCCAAAGAAAATGTGGGCCATTGAGCTATCATGCAAACACTTTAGTGCTCAAGGTACTCCAGATTAAGGATCTCAAAAATTTGTCATGCATTCATTAAAAATGAGTAAAGGATAATGCTAAGATTCTTTGTTCATGTTTATTCTTATTTTATGATTAAAAGTTGGTTTTCTGAATTTTCAGTATTTAGGAGTATTTCAGTAGTTTATATGTTTCTCAGTTCTCAGGATTTTTCTGAATTTAGTAGTTTGCTAATTTTATCCTAAGAGTTGAATAAGGAATTTGTTTCTAATTTGATTAAGAAAGGGTCTCATTCCTATTCTGAGAAAGGGATGAATCCTAATCACAATAGGTTGTGGCTAAGTATTCTCTTTGAGAAACGGAGGGATTAGGCTTTAACAAAATTCCTGTAGGGTTGTTGTGTTTTTAAGGGCTCTATGATGTAGGATCTAGCCTTTGGTGTAATTCCTAGCGTTTCCTAATTTGTTCTTCAAACTGAGCAATTTCCATTTTAAGTTTTCATACCTGATACTGTTCAACAATTCTTCTCTGTACTACTTAATTGCATATAACTGTGATCTCTAATCCGTAAAAAAAAGTTTGATCTCTAATTGCATTCACTGCATCAGATTTACTAGCGGGAACTCATTGCTGCGTTTGTTAAGTTGATATTACTTTGGATGAACATTTGCATGTTTTTACAGGCTGTGGAACATTTGCATTAGATTTACTTTAGATAAAGGTTATCAAGTCACTGTTATTTTGAGTAAGCCTGAGTGTGAACTTGGCTAAATGGCTCACGAACTTTTGCTGTCATCTAAGTTTCCATGCAAAGTTTCTGAGGTAAATATTTTATGGGACTTAGCATTTCTAGATTCATAATATGGGAAGTTGAAATAGCTAATTTGAAGTGAGGACTCCTATGTGAAGTTTGTTTTCTGTTTTGTTGAGCAGGAGAACCGGGTAAAAAAATCTCTTCGTTTCTTGTTTGTGCTATGGACAAACATTGGGATCATTGCAATGATCCATTAAGATTTATCAGAGGCAGAAGATTTCTTCAGCGTGACAGATTTACTATAATCGATTTCCTATTCCCGCAGGATTTTTTCGTTTTCTAGTTGTCCAAAGGCTTTTCTGTGCTAATTGTTGCAAGTTAATTGCTGTCATTGATCATTGTTTCCTTCCTTTCAACCGAGCAATTCAGTTACTGCCACTCGAGAGTTATCAGAAGCAATTAGTTTGTTTGTTTGTTTGTTCATTCGGACGAATGTCTTCCAAATCAGAAGGCTGGCATAGGGAGGAGTATTAGGAATCATTGTGGCGTTTTTTCAAATTTGGAAGCTGAATTATGTGCTTTAAGGATTGGGCTAAGAATTGCAATGTCTCGAAAGTTTGTAAATGTATTAATTCAATCTGATTCAAAAGTTTTGGTTCATCCCATCAGGGAGAAAGGTGAAGTAAGTTGCCAGCTGAGCCCTTTGCTTGCTGGCTGTGTATGCTTTTGCAAAGGAGGAAGGCACCTGAGTCCAAAGTCCAAATTTTTAATGCACTTTTAGTCCTTAACGTTTTAAATTGTGGATTCAGTTTGGTTATCACTATTTATTTACAAATCAAATAGGTTCTCTTAAAGATAT